TGGGTTTATGTCTCTTCGAAAATATCATAAATTAAACTCCTGCTTTTGGAGGGGAAAACCCACAAACTTAACAGTGGTGGATGATCTCAAGGTACCAGGGGGTCGTGGGTTCACGTCCCAGATAAGCTCTTCAATTTGCCCGCAAAGAGGAGGCTACCTATTGAAGAGCTTCCCCCTGGTGCCTGTGCTTTGCTTGGGAGATCCAATAAAAGGAAAACATGAGGAATTATGTGAAAATTTAGATAACATGAAGGGAAAGCAGAGGGATAGAGGAGAAGCAATGCAACAATGATAAGCTGATGCACAAATATAAATGACTTCGGGTGTGAAAGGAGTAGACAAACTGTCAAAATGATTGAGTGAACCATTTTGCTTCTTATAAAATTAGTGGCTGATTGCATTCCTCTCTAATTCCACCTGGCTCAGGATTAGCTGGGTTTTATTAATCCAAAGACTGTTTAAATTTTTCCAGACAGACAAATGCTACGTTGCTTGGTAGTTGATGCATCTCTTGCAAATCAAGATGCATGCAATTTGCAAGATGATCCTGAGAAACACTCAATAGCTTGCATCATATTAGAAAAGCATTGTACAAACCAACCTAATTCTTGGGGAGGCACATATAGAGATGTGGAATGAAAGTAGTTTTAAATAATCCTTCTTCCCTCTCTCCTAGTTTCCATCCTGCTCCTTAACCACTCCTAAGCCACCTAGAGGAGTCCTGGCCTCATGCTCTCCAGCACTTGGCATTCACCAGCACATAACATTGCTGGGGTGCAAAACCAGAAAGAACTTTACAAACTCTGTACATTAGACGGACACGGACCTGTTGGAGTGGGTCCAGAGGAGGCCACAGAGATGTTCAGAGGGCTGGAACACCTCTCCTATGAGGAAAGGCTGAGAGAGTTGGGCTTGCTCAGCCTGGAGACGAGAAGGCTCCAGGGAGACCTTACTGAAGCCTTTCAATACTTAAAGGGGACTTATAAGAAAGACGGGAACAAACTTTTAGCAGTGTCTGTTGCAATAGGACAAGGGGTAAGGGTTTTAAATTAAGAGAGGGTAGATTCAGACTAGATGTAAGGAAGAATTTTTTACGAGGGTAGTGAAACACTGGACCAGGTTGCCCAGAGAGGTGGTAGATGCCCCATCCCTGGAAACATTCACAGTGAGGTTGGATGGGGCTCTGAGCAACCTGATCGAGTTGAAGATGTCCCTGCTCACAGCAGGGGAGTTGAGTTAGATGGCCTTTAAAGGTCCCTGTCGTGGTTTAACCCGGCTGGCAACTCAGCACCACGCAGCCGCTCGCTCACTCCCCCCTCCCTCAGTGGGATGGGGGAGAGAATCGGAAAGAAAATAAAAGGTTAGAGCCGAGGGCTGAGATAAAGACAGTTTAATAAGAGAAAATAATAATAATAATAATAATGAGGATGATAACAGAATATACAGAATATACAAAACGAATGAGGCACAATGCAATTGCTCACCACCCACCGACCGATGCCCAGCCCGTCCCGAGCCGCGAGCAGTCCCCGAGCCGCGAGCAGTCTCCCCGCGACCGACCGACCGAACTAACCGCCCCCCCCCAAGCATGACGTTATATGGTATGGAATAGCTCTTTGGTCAGTTTGGGTTAGCTGTGCTAGCTGTGCTGTACTCCCAGCTTGTTATGCACCTGGGCAAGCAGGAGAAGCTCAAAAAGTCCTTGAGTAGTCTGAGCACTACTTGGCAACAGCTGAAAACATCAGTGTGTTATCAACATTCTTCTGGTACTAAATCCAAAACACAGCACTATGCTAGCTACTATGAAGAAAATTAGCTCTATCCCAGCCGAAACCAGGACAGTCCCTTCCAGCCCAATCCATTCTGTGATTCTATGATTAGGAATTAATCAGTGCAGGGGCAGGAAGTGTGCATGCATGCACGAGTACATATGTGCTTGATGAGGGACAAGACTAATCTCGTTCCAGCTGTTTGAACAGCATAAAGCAGGCAGGGGGGTGTTGGTAACAATAGCAGTGACGACAAAGAAATTTATCATTGGCACAGTTAGTGGGGAAAGCCATGCAAGAGTCCAGGTGAGGACCCAAGATCTAACCTTAACTGAGCCAGTATGGGTTTTAGCACCAGGGCCTCATACTTTCAAGGATGACTTAGAAGTTATTAAAAAACTTCAGCTGCTGATGCTTGCACACAGTTAACTTTATTTCAGGCTTCATTGGCTAAACAGGGCATTTAGATGTCTACACGTAGACACCAAATTTATGAGACTTAACCTAGAGCTGAATTCCACTCTGTGCATATCTCAGGAATTGCCAAACTGGAGGTTGCTAGCTCTTCCACAGGAGGACGACGCTAGGCCAAATATGCTGAGATTTGGCCTTCTACCTTTATTTCTCACAAGCTAGCTGTTTCCTACCATGTTGATTAGAGAATGGTTGTGGCATAAGTACTGCTCTGGTACCTCTGACAGAGAGAGCCACACACCAAGCTAAGCTTGGGCCCACAGCCTAGGCAGCTGAATGCCTGCACGATTATGCTTTTGGCCTGTTTACACAATCCTGTTACATACGTGATTTAACATATGCAAAACTGCCATCCTCAGGCTCTATATTCCTTGGGGATGTTGCCATACAGTATCTAGCACAAGGAGGGTCACAAGCTGCTTTTATGAGGCAAAAATACTGCAAGACACAATTCAATACTTCATTAGTACTTCAGACCCAACCCCAAACTCCAGATCCCATAATTATTCTTCCCCATCACCACTGTTTCAGGGCACACCGCACCCAAACCTAACTTTACTTACATCATCCTATCTCTCAGGCTAACTTACTCTGAAAGAAACCTCACAAATTATTCATCCTTCCCTGCACCAAGACACTGCATACCTGTTAGGGCAGCGATTAGGATGAGGTACACTAAGAACATCACAAGATAGGGTCTACTGATTTTAGGAGTCTGCAGACCCTTTTTTTTCCTTCCCATTGCTTTTAGCTGTTAAAAGTTGGTAGTTTAAGAGAAACAACTTTAGGAAAAAGTATTTTGAATCACATAAAGTTTATTTACTTAGTAAAGTTATATTACAATATATACAGTTTCTATTTACATATACACCTTTCTAAGAAATGAAGCACCATATGATACAGTTAGTATTTTAGAGGAATTTACAGAAAATTTATTTTTGCACCCAAATTGTTATATCTACAGATTGGTTAGAACCAAGTTCTCCTAAGCCACTGACTTCAGTGGGTTTGGGATTAGACTGCTAGTGAAGTTACCAAAGAGAAATTTAATTGCTGTCAGCTACCAATCTGCTATGCTTCAGGATAAGAGATCTTAGCTATGTAATTTCAGGGGCTACGTGCAAACTTAATCCTCAGAGAAAGTCAGAGGTGCAGATAGAAGGTATTTTATAAGACGCAAGAATGCAACACTTTCCTCAGTAAGATTTTTACTGTCATCAGAAACAGTTTCATTAGACTGCTTAAGTGTTTATACTCATTATGCAAAGTGAAGTTAAGAACCTGGAAGCTTATGTGATATGGTATCATGCATTCTCCAGGGAATCCATTTACTCTTAAAGAGCCCAGTCTTACAACTACTGAAGCTTGTGGCATGATCCCCTTAACTCAAGGAGAAAGACTAGCTGTTCGCTTTGTAATCTTTTTGCCACCGTCAAGAAAAAAAGAAGGCTCTGTCCAAGGTACAAAATTTCCTTCAAGTGAATAAAAGACATTTGGAAGAGGAAAATGTAAAATGAGGTATTTAATAAACTACAGGGGAAAAAAAAAAGCGCCTAGACGGTTTTGAAAACATCTTAGATATTTTACATATGCAGTTGTTACATTCACCTGATTGTGGGTCAAGTTTTGTATAAACTATTTATACCTTTTGCGTTACCTAATTTCTGCTTTTCATATTTTTGCTTCACTAGATGTTGGATCTAATGGCTGGAAGAAAGCATTGTTACTCTGAGGACAGTTATTATGACAGACACAGGTGTTGATCAACATCATTGGCTTTTTTAGGCCTTTGCCCTGAGGACAGCGGAACTCAACTTGAATTGTTTTAGTGTTGTGTGGGGTACAGCATCGCCCATCATTGCAGAGGCCACAATAACGAGGTTTGTATGTCTGCACACTGGTGCAGTTCTTGTATTCAAAACGAACAGCTTTCAGGGACTTCGTTGTTCGGACACATTTCTTCCCTTTCTAAGAGAAATATGAAGAGACATTAGATACATCATTGCATAAGACAGAAAGCAGTTAAAAATTGATATGCAAGGATAGAGGTCTACTTTGAAAACTTAAATTTGTTTTCTTTGTTCAACATCAGTAAGACCCTGCAGCTACTTCAGCAGTTACTTACAGGTAATTCCTGCAAGATCTGCCCACTGACACCAGTGTGTTATTGGGCCAGTAATGAGGGACAAATAATTAAAGATCACTCTTGTAATCTGAAACAAGCCAAACCAAAATTCATTATGAAACTGTACTGGAAAACTTCCCAAGCTAGTCTAGTTCCATCACAGAATCAGGAAGCCAAATGAGCAAGTTACAGGACTAGATTCAGGGGAAAAAAAAGAGGGTTAAAATGAACCTTAAAAGTCATTGCCAGTTCTTGCAAGCCAAGGCAGAATCAGCTTTCTCCATGTTATTCTTAACAGATGTTTGTCTAACTTATTCTTAGAAATCTTCAGAGAGACTCCACATCTGCCCCAGACAGTCCTAACAGTTCACTATTCTTACTGCTAGGAAGGTTTTCACTCATGTCTTACTTTTTATGCAGTCTAAACTCACCATTTCTTCCTGTATCCCCCATGGAGTCAAACAGGCTGCGATCTCGGAACACAGTTATGAGAACGCATCTCTGTTCTCTTGCATTCAGAAAAAGTTCAGTTCAATCAATTTTTCCCTAGCAGAACATGTTTTCTAGACCTTTGATCATTCTTGTTAGTCTCCCCAACTCTTCCCAAATGTTTCATTTCCTTTTCAAAACAGAGTATTCAGCAAAGGCCTTAGCAATGCTTTCCAACAACCAGAACATTACATAAAGTGACAGTCCTTTTACCTAGCTACATGTTATTCTCCCTGACAGGAACACTTGTATAATGTGTTAGAAGCAGCAAAAAAGTCAGCTCCCTTAGATACACACTTACTGCACCTGAAGTGTCAGTGTTGGATTTGCTTTTGGAAAAAGCATCATAAGGATTAAAATAAGGCTTAATTTCCTCAAGCAGATTTTGCAGGTTTTCACACATTTTTCTACAGTTCCAGATGCTCAACAGACTAGAAATTTAACATGCCCACCTGTATGATTGGAGCAGCTCTGAAGTATACATACAGGTAGTACAATTGCATTTGTGGGAGACGTTAGACTGCATGAGCTGCCAAAATAGTCCGCATGTGCAATACATCTGATCTATTTGGGATGGCTCAAATTATCACAGAATCATAGAATCACAGAATGGTTTGGGCTGGAAGGCACCTTTAAAGGTCATGTACTACAAGCCCCCTGTAATGAGCCGGGATATCTTCAACTCAATCAGGTTGCTCAGAGCCCTGTCCAACCTCACCTTGAATGTTTCCAGGGATGGGGCATCTTTTAATTTAAACCCCTTACCCCTTGTACTATCACTACAGGCCCTACTAAAAAGTCTGTCTCCATCTTTCTTATAAGCCCCCTTTAAGTATTGAAAGGCCGTGATATGGTTTCCCTGGAGCCTTCTCTTCTCCAGGCTCAACACCCCCAGCTCTCTCAGCCTGTCCTTGTAGGAGAGGTGCTCCAGCCCTCAGATCATCTTTGTGGCCCTCTGGACCTGCCTCAACAGGTCCATGTCTTTCCTGTGCTGAGGGCAGGACAAATCTGCTGAGCAAACACAGCAAATCTAAAGCCTACCAAAACCATCAGGCTTGCTACCCATATGCTAAAAGGTGTACTTATATACACTTGCATCTGGAGCATTCTAGACCATAATACTGCAACCTTGGAATTACAGCTGAAGAGACTGCTCTCCTGTCACTCTTTACAGCCTACCTTATCAGACGGCTCTTCATTTTCACAAGGTCTTATCATGCAAAGCCGTGTCTGCTTCACCATCTCACACTGTTGATTTCTGTTGGTAACACGGGTGGAAAAGCCCATTCCACAGCTTTTGGAACAAGCACTCCATTCTGTTGTCTGCTCAATACAATTGGCACTTGAATCCGACACATCGATCCCGAGCGTAGCCTCTTGTCTGTAGGCTGGAGACAAAACCTCCCAGAACGTTATTACAAGAAAAACTCATGTGAAAACACAGTATCTAAGTGAGCTCTACCACATCTGGGAAGAAACATGTGAGACAGAAAAGAGGTCCAAAATCCATGCTTTTGACAGAATTTAGGAATTGTAACAGCTCCCTTTTTAGGAGCCCTGGATAGAAATTTCCTACATCCAAAAATAACAGAAAGGTGTGTATCAGTGTAACCAGCAAAGCATTTAGATTCAGTCCACTCAAATCCACAGCTGGAGGAATTATTGCCATTTTTTAAAAAATCTGTTCTAAAGCTAAGTCATAAAAATATTTATATTAGATTTGAATTGAGAGAGGCTGAATGATTTATCTAGACTCATAAACAGCATGGAAGTAAAGCCCTTTACTCTGAGGATCATAAAGTCACCCGATCTTGTCAATTATTGACAGCTTATAGCCAGGGTGATGGCGGGGAGGGAGGAAGGAAGTAATTTCCAGGAGTTATCACAGCTACTCAAAGGCATAGCCAACTCTGATCATTGTCCTGCCCTCATGGCAGTGTTAAGCTGTATTATGCAAAAATTGCTCACTGTATTGTTTGTTTAATCAGTTATCACAGGAGTAAACAGAATGAGGCAACACGACTGAGCCGTCAGTCACAGCTCTTGCTGTTAAGCTCCTCCACAACAGCATTTTTCATGGTAAAGCTCCAAAAGAGGTGGCCTCCCAAGAGGGATGGCCATTGCTAGGAAGAATGCAGATAATCCGTCTGTAGGCATTTTACGGATTAGGCTGTCACTGTCAGACAAATCAAAGGAAAGGAAAGATAGTAGAAAGGTGGCAAGCTGCTTGTTTATACCTTACGTGCCCTACAACTGACACTTCATAGCACTCTGAAAAGTTATTCGAGCTTTTCTTCCCTGACCCTTCCTTACTTGTTTTTCAAATGGATTAGCTGAGCTTCAGCATAACTAACTGCTTAAGACCACAAAGAGCAGTGACTGGAAGAGAATGCGGTGCCCTCAACTCTCAGTAAAAGTAGTTTATTACTCATGTTGAACTAATAGTCTAATTTAAAGGGGATGGAGACATAGTTCAGTAAGAAAACAGGAAGAAAATATTATGTAGCTTTTTTCAATTACAAAAGTACTTTATGAGTTCTGTGTTTTGGAATGGGATTTTTTTTTTTCAGATCCACTCACTGTGTTTATAACCACTGCTTCTCCAAGTACTTTGTAATGTTTTTAATGCCAACAATAATGATGAGAGCTCTAGCACAGACAGGCAGGAATTTGTTGGCATTTTAGCTACCACTCTGACCATTTGTAATAGCCGGGGAATTCAGGGGGAAAAAAAGTCTCTTGTAGACTAAGCTGTTATAATAGTATTTATGATGTAACAACATATTCTTGCAGAGCAACTAGCAAGACTGCAGCTTTGATTTTTTTTTTTTTTGGTGGGGGGGGGGGAATTATGAGCTTGCCCCTGTTTTATTCCAGATAAACAGCAATTTTAGAATTGGAAACTAACTCAGGTTAACTACCTTCTAAAACTGCTATGCACATTCATCCTCTGAGCATCTCCTCTTTTACCTGTCGAGCTCTGGCTTTATTCAGAACCACTGGTATACTTACTAGCGACTCTAGATGAGAAAAAAAGATCAGAAAAAAATGACCGCACAAAGCAATGTGTCTTAGCTTTGGCAACCCCATGGGCATTTCCAGTACGGTATCACCTCCTCCTCACAATGACTGTGACAGTTTTAGTTTCCTCACCGGCCATAGCAAAACCTCCCAAAATCACTTCGTCCTTAGGGTCGCAGATCCACTTCTCACAGCACTCTCCGGGGACTTCGATTTTCCTGGGGAACGGGCAGTCGGGGCCGGGGAGCAGCAGGTCCAGGTTGCAGCGGGGCAGACAGCCGATCTGTCCGTCTCGGCAGG